TCTCCCCCTAAACCTCACCAATCCTCCCCCCACCCCCCAAAGCTCACCAGCCAACCCCAAATCTCACCCCAACCCTCAAATCTCACCCCAAACCTCAGCAGCAAACCCCAAACCCGACCCCATCACCCCAAAGCTCACCAGCCCTCCCCCCACACCCCAAACCTGACCCCATCACATCACCCAAGCTCAACAGCAAACCCCAATTCTCCCCCCAACCCCCCCCCCCCATCTCTGGCCCTGCTTTGGGTTGAATTCTGGTTATTTAGGGCCATGGGGTCACATCCCCCTGTCCCTCTTCCCATCTTGGATTTCTTGGGGGGATTCATCCCTAAATCCAAGATTCCCATCTTGGAGTCTTCGGGGTGTTTCTTGTCTTCCCAATTTGGATTTCCAGGGGGGATTTTAATCCCAAACATCCCTCTTGTCTCCCCCTCTTGGATTCCTTGTGGTGTTTTTTTTGGGTGGGATTAATCCCTAAACCCCTCTTGTCTCCCCCTCTTGGACTCCTGGGGGTGTCGGATCGATTTTGAGGGAAGATTTGGGGCCACCCCCCCCTTCCTCCCCCCATTCCCATTCCCATTCCCATTCCCATTCCCATTCCCATTCCCATTCCCAGCAATCCTGGATTCCCCCCCCCCGTTCTGAACTGGGAGGGGGGGTCACGACTCCCTTTCCCCCTCAAGGGGGAGATTTTAGGGCCACGATTTTACCCCCAAAAACGCAAATTTTTGCCCCCCCCAAAAACCCACCTGAGCCGGGGCCGCCCAGTCCGGGACCCTCCTGATCCCAACGAGTCCTAACGAGCCCCCCCGGACCCCCCCGGACCCCCCCAGCCCCGTGATCCCCGCACCCCCCGGCCCTCATTAAACCCTCGCGGGGTCCCGCTGCTTTTATTCCGCTCCTTTATTTAAAAAACAAAACAAAAATAACCCAAAAAACCCCCCCAAAACCTCCCCCAACCCCCCCCCCCCCCCCCGTCCCGAGCCCGCTCTCCGTTCAAACCGTGGGACCCTCGGCGAGAAAAAAAGTCGCTTTTTAGGTTTGAGTTCGGGGAGCTGTTTTTGGTTTCTTTGGGTTTTGGGTTTTTTTTGATTTTTTTGTTTGTTTGTTTGTTGTGAGTATTTATTTTTGGTTGTTGTTCTGTTATTTTTTTTCCTCTTGATTGATTTATTTTTTTTATTTTATTTTTTTTTTGAAAATTTTTTTTCCAAGTTTTTTGGGTTGGTTTTATTTTTTTTTTTCGTTATTTTTTTTATTTTTTTTTTTTTTTTTCCCTTTTCCGGCGTCCTCCCGGGCGCGGGGACACAGGGAAGGCTTTGTCCCGAGCTTGGAGGACGCTGCGGGGCAGCTCTTTGGGGCCCTGGCTCGCTGCCACCCCAAATAGGTGGCCTTTTTTTTTTAGGGGGGGAGATGGGAAGCATCAAAAGCTGCTCAATCCCTCGTTCTTCCCCCTTCCAGCAGCGAAAAAAAAAGGGGTGAAACCCCTTCGGGAGAGATTTTGGGAGGAGGGGTCAGCCCCTTTTGAGGAGGGGTCAGCCCCCCCCCTAAAATGTTTGGAGGAGCACCCCCCCCCAAAAAAAAAATAAGGGTGAAGTGACAGAAAATCCCCGGAAATCCCAAATTTTGGGGTCGGGGCACCCCCCAAAATATTGAATATAAATAATTTTGGGTGCCCCCAAAGCCCCTCCAAACCCGCTCTGGGCTGGGGGGGAGAGGGAGGGGTTTATTCCCAGATATCCCCCTCCCCAAAAAATAAGGGTGAAGTGACAGAAAATCCCCGGAAATCCCAAATTTTGGGGTCGGGAACCCCCAAAGTATTGAATATAAATATTTTTGGGTGCCCCCAAAGCCCCCCCAAACCCCTTCTGGGCTTGGGGAAGGGGGTGTGGTTTGTTCCCAGGCATCCCCCACCCAAAAAATAAGGGTGAAGTGACAGAAAATCCCCGGAAATCCCATATTTTGGGGTCGGGAACCCCCAAAGTATTGAATATAAATATTTTTGGGTGCCCCCAAAGCCCCCCCAAACCCCTTCTGGGCTTGGAGGGAGGGGGGTGGTTTGGAGGGATCAGGGACCCCCAGCCCGACCCAACCCCAACCCCTCGCCCCGAAAAAACCCAACCTACAGCCCCTAAAAATAACCCCCACCCCCCCCAAAAAAGACGCCAACAATCATCAAAGTATTAAAAAAAAAAATAACCAAAACCAACAAAATCCAAACTGGAATTTTCACAGCGAGTTTGGGCCCAAACCTGCTTTTTATTTATTTATTTATTTATTTATTTATTTATTTATTTATTTATTTATTTATTTATTTATTTTTGCCCCTTTTTTGTTTGTTTTTGAGGGGAAAATTGGCCCCGTTTCTGGTGTTTGGCCCCAAATTGCCTCCTTTTTTGGGTACCAACACATTTACCCCTTTTTCTGTTTTTCTTTGGCCCCAAACTTACCCTTTTTTTTTGGTTCCAAATTTCCCCATTTTTGGCCCCAAAGGCAACCTTTTTTGACCCAACAAATTTGCCATCTTTTTTATTTTTTTTTTGGCCCCAAACTTCCACCCCTTTTTTGGCAACCAAAAGTGCCACCTTTTTTGGTTTAAAATTTCACCTCTTTTTTCTTTGGTCCGGAATTGCCCCCTGTTCTTTTTTTTTTGCCCCAAACTCCCCCTGTTTTTGGCCCCAATTCTTCCCTTTGGTGGCACCCAAATGCCTGCTGTGGGACCGCAAATTGCCCCGTTGTTTGTGGTCCCAAATGACCCTTTAGGGTGGTTTTTTTTTTTGGCTCCAAATTCCCCCCTTTTTTTGGTCCCAAATTGCCCCAAATTCCCAAGTTTCGCCCCAAAACGAGGGGCCCTTCCCCAAGGAAAACCTTGGGATGGTTTTTCCAACCCCCCCCGGCGCCCTCCCCCCTCCCCCGGCCCCACAAACATCCCCGACCTCTTTGCGGCCCTCATTAATTAGGGATAATCACCGCTCTCATTAGCGGGGCGCTCCTGCCGGTGCCCCCCTCCCCCCCCCAATCCCGGCA